GGGGGGACGCAGGGCAGGGCTGGGGGGACATCGCATCCCGGCACGGTGACCCCCCCCCGCCCACGCATCTCCACCCGCCCGGCACAGCCCCGCGGCGCCGTGCCCCCCGCCGGCTCCCACCTCTGGTGTCCAGGCTGGAGGCCCGCTGGGTGCTCTCCAGCTTCCACTTCTTGATCCTGAAGTAGGGGCTGGCCCCGTCCAGGCTGGCGTGGCGGCGCAGGCGGGTGAAGAACTGCAGGACGGTGCCCTGCGCGGGGGCCGGGGGGGGCTCCCCGGGGCCGGCACTGCCCACCCCAGCCGCCTTCCCGCTCCTGGGTGCTGCTGCGAACTGGGGGGGCGAGGGGGGCCATCAGCGCCTGCTCAGCTCCAGGCACGGCCCCCAGCCCCCCCGGCCCCAGCTCGGCTCCTTTGTCCCGCTCCTGCCCAGCTCGGCTGCGGCAGATGCACAAATGGCCCCCGGGGCCGGGGCGGGGGGCAGAGCCCGCTTCCAGCTGGGTGCCCCCGTCTCTCCCTGGATCCCCAGCACGGAGCGGGGGGCAGGCAGCCCGGGGGGGCGCGGGGCTGGCCCCACGCTGGGGCTGCCGAGCCCCTTCCCCCGCCCCGCGGCCCCCCTGCCCCAGCACTCACCGAGGGGCCCTCCCCGGAGTCGGAGGAGGCGGACGGGCTGGCCTCGGTGAAGCTGGTGTCCACGGTGGAGTTGTAGGTGTCCCCGGGCAGGGCAGAGCTGGGGCACACGGCGTGGCTGGGCAGCGCCGGCTGGGGCAGGGCCCCCGCGGGGGGCTGCAAGGCAGAGCGCGCTCAGGGGGCTGCGCAGGAGGCCGGGGGCCGGGAGGGGCCCCCAGGACCTCCCATGCCCGCATCCCCGAGACCCCCACCCCAGCTCCAGCGGTGCCTCCCTGGGGCGCTGCGGGCCCCCCATCCCGCCGGGTGCCGGGGGCTCACCTGGAAGATGGCGAGGCCGGGCTTGGGCGGGGGCAGGCGGGGCGTCATGGCCAGGCTGTTCTCGCTGGACTCGCACTCGTGGATGGTGACGATCTTGAGGGCGGGCGGCGGGAGGTGCAGGTGGGTCAGGCGGGCGTTCTTCAGGTGGTGGAAGTCCCCCTCCGTCAGCGTGTACCTGCCGGCCCGCGGGGTTAGGAGGGGTGGCCCCGGCCCCCCGGCCCCCCCAGCCCAGCCCGGTGCCTCACCTCCTCCCCTTCTCCTGGGTCTTCTTGCCCTGGTCGAAGAGCGCGGCCTCGTTGAAGGAGACACGGCGGGCGGTGGAGGAGCTGGAGGACAGGAACCGCTCGCTCTCCACATCCCGGTAGCTGGAGGACGACAGGCAGTCGGGGTCCTCCACTTTGATGGTGATATCTGCGGAGAAGGGGGTCAGCAACGAGGGTCCCCCTCTGCCGTGGTGCGTGCCAGCTTCCCCTGCTGAGGCCTGGCAAACTTGCTGCACCCCGGGCCTCGACGCCAGCCCGGCGGTCCCTGCTCCCGGCGGTCCCTGCTCCCGGCCGCCCGTCCTGCTCGTGCAGCCAGGGCTCCTCTGGGACGGGCGATGGAGGGCGCAGGGGGTCTGTGGCCACCCCTGCCCCAGGGCTGGGGGCTGCACCCAGGAGAGGGCCCAGGAGCTGCTTCCCCCCGGGAGCTGGGGGTGCTGCTGGGGTGCGGCTGGTGACACTGGTGGGCGGCGGCTGGCAGGGCCCCGCGGCACCCCCGGCCCCACCGTGGCACTCACCCTGGGCTGGCTGCGAGTCGTCCAGGTAGGTGGTGTTGGTTTTCTCGGGGTCATCGCTGGCTCTGCGGGGGGAGGAGGGTCAGCGATGCCCTGCGCCGGCACCCCCGGCCCCCTTCGCGGTGCCGCACGCCCCGTGGCCCGTCCCCACCTGGAGTGCCGGCGGCTGGCCTCCCCGCACCGGCGGGAGGTGCTCCGGGGGC